TTTTTTTTTTATTGTAGAGATGAGGTCTCCCAGCCCAGGTGGGTCTCAAACCCGTGGGCTCAGGCAATCCACTCACCTCAGCCTCCTAAAGGCACGGGATTACAGGCTGAACCACCGAGCCTGGCTGGTTTTTGCTTTTTAAAAATAATTGAATTATCATTTTGGTTAAATGAATGATTCTATAGTCACTGTGATCCTATTTTGTGATATCAAAGGTTTTTTTTGACAAACTTTTCAAAATCAAAATTTCCACTTTTGAATTCAGTCTTGTTGCCCTCATTAGCTTATAGATGTTAGGTTTCACTGAAGTCCAAAGGAAACATATTTGGCCAATTTGGTATGGTTAAATCATGCTGGGAGCATTGTCAAATGTAAAAGGTTATCCAGGTGCAGTGGTTCGTGCCTGTCATCCCAGCACTTTGGGAGGCGGAGGCAAGAGGATTGCCTGAGTCCAGGTTCGAGACCAGCCTGGGCAACTGGGTGAGACCTCGTCTCTACAATAAATCAAAAAATAAACTGGGCATTGTGACGCTTCCTGTAGTTCCAGCTACTTGAAATGCTGAGGTGGAAGGATTGCCTATACCCAGCAGGTTGAAGCTGTGGTGGCCGTGAAGGTGCCACTGCACTCCAGCCTGGGTGACAGAGTGAGACACCAACTCAAGAAAAAAAAGGATGTTTAATTTTCTTTAGGGTATATCTATATGTGTTATTGGTATGTGTTCCAAAATTATATAGCAGTCTTATAACTTTGATATGACTTAGTGTAAGTTATTAGTAATAATTATTATTCTGTTAAGTAGTATGCCACGAAGTAATTAAATTTTCTTGTTAATTGTCTTTGATGAAATTTAAGACTTTGTTCACTATTATTGCTCTGCTTTAATCTTTTTTAAAAGGTAGTTTGTAATAAACTAAAAGACTCTGACAGTTGCTCTTCAACACAGCTTTCTAACAATTTTGGAGGTTGTGCCAATGGACTAGGAATGAAAAAAACTTCCAAGACTCTTATTGAAGAGTGAGTTGTTCATGGAGATCGCTAACACAATTGTGGAACAGAACAAGAGTTAATTGTATGGACTGAACAAACAGAAGACTAAAATAATTTTTCATATTATCTGAAGCACTGTTGATTCTTTTTGTTGATGTTTTTCAACATCAAGAAAACCTTTTTCTTTTGAGCTATTTACAAAGTTTTAGACAAGTGAGTAAATTAATGCTCTGGTGAACAAAATTTGAAGCATATTTCTCTATCTGATTACTTCAGAATTTGGAAACTGCTTGTGAGTATTTACTTATGACAAGATCGTTATTTGCTTTACAAACACAGCACTACCAACACCTCCCTTCTTCCTCCTCATCTGGTCAGTTATCTCCAGGTAATAGGGCAGGTCTCTGGTGGCCTCCTAAAGGCACTGTGGCCCCTTTGTGGGTTCTGGTCAGGTCTCCTAGGTGATATAGGGAGACTCTCTGGACAAGGAGACATATCTCCAAATGGACGGAGAAGAGGGACTTTTTGGGAATGCTTCTGGTCTGATTCTGACCTGGCTCTTGTCTTTAGACAAGCTTAACTTTCTCAATCAAGTAACAACTAAAGAATTCCTGCAACCCATCTAGGAGATGTTCCAAATCTTTGGCTCAACCAATGTATACCTTCCATGTATTGGTTTATGATTTTACCTGCAATTTCTGTCTCCCTGAAAACCAAACTAGAACCTGACCTCCTCAGGTGCACTTTCTCAGGGCCTCTTGAGATGGTGTTCTCCAGGCTACGGTCGCTCATGCTGACTCAGAATAAATCTCTTTAAAATATTGTAACAGAATTTGGCTGGGCACAGTGGCTCATGCCTGTTTTCCCAGCACTATGGGAGGCTGAGGCAAGAGGACTCCTTGAGCCCAGGAGTTCAAAACTAGCCTTAACAACAAACATAGTGAGACTTTGTCTTTACAAAAAATACAATAAGTAACCAGGCATGGTGGCACAAACCTGTAGTCCAGCTACTTGGGAGGCTAGGGAGGAAGGATCGCCCAGCCCAGGATGTCAAAGCTGTGATAAGCTATGATCGTGTCACTACACCCCAGTCTGGACAAGAGAGTGAGACTGATTCAAAAAATTATAGTATATATTTTAGAGAGTTTGTTTTTTCCATGAACAAGGGAATGTATTTTAAATTCTTATTGCAGCAAAATGTGTGTCATTCACATAGCAAACAGTGTTTAATTTCAAAAAATTTGGAGTTGTTTCAAAGTTACATAACACTGGAGAAGAAATAAATCTTTCAGGTGGAGGTGAGAGAATTGCCTGAGCCCAGAGATTTGAGACCAGCCTGGGCAACTTGGTGAGACCTCGTCTCTACAATAAACAAAAAAATTAGTCAGGTGTAATGGCACATGCCTGTAGTTCCAGCTACTTGGAAGGATACCCTGAGCCAAGCAGGTCGAGACTGCAGTGGCCGTGTCTGTGAGAGAGCATGTTCATTGCCACTGCATCCAGCCTGGGCAGCAATGAACATGCTCTCACACACCTTGGGGCTCCTGTGAGGACCTCAACACCCACATCCTCACAGCTGACGGAGACTTTGTGGCCTTTTCGCAGGGATCCACCTCCTTCTGTGTGTAGGGACTCTCACTTTGCAAACTGACCAGGCAGGGTGCTCTTAGAGACGCCCTCAGTCTCCTGAAGACACTGGCTGGGTGAGGCTACACAGTCTTCTGACCTAAACCTCAGTGGGCAGTGACAACTGTCACTTAGGACATGGGCGACCTCAGGGCACTCAAAAAGTCACTCCAAAATATGCCTGCAGGCAGTTTGGTCCATCCATCCCTCCCCCCAAAACAAAAATACAGTGATGTCATTCCTGGGGGCAGCTGGCAACTGTCACCTCCCTGCTGATGGGGAACCACATGATACCTTGCAGCTACGACATGATTTCAAAGCCTCTCAGACACTCCCTTACACAACCCAGGCTCACTTCTATTTTGGGACGGCTCCTAAAATAAAATTTTTTTCTTTTCTTTTTCTTTTTTTGAGACAGGGTCTTACTCCATTGCCCAGGCTAGAGTGTAGTGGCAAGATCATAGTTCATTGCTGCCTCGAACTCCTAGGCTCAAGCGATCCTCCTGCCTTAGCTTCCCAAGAAACTGGGACTGCTGGTGTGAGCCACCACATCAGGCTGATTTTCTTTAAATGTTATTTTTTTATAGAGATAGGGTCTCGCTGTGTTGCCCAGGCTGGTTTTAAACTCCTGAACACAGGCAATCCTTCTGCCCTGGCTAACCAAAGTAGATTACAGGTATGAACCACCATGCCCAGCCTCATCTTCTTTTAAGAAACAGAAGGAAGGTGCTATGGCTTGAATGTTTATGTCACTTCCAGAATTCATGTTGAAACTCAACCCCCCAGGTTGGCATTTGCTATATCTTGTCACCTGTCATGTTGACATCTGCGTGTCTTCTGGTTCCGTGTGTCTCTGTCAGTCGGGAGGAGCAGAATAGACTGTAAAGTGTCTGATAAGAAGACCTGAAGTTCAGCTTCGGCAGCTAGAAGGCTTGGTTATGTCACCTGACCAAGTTAGTCCAGGATTTTTTAGTTTACCCATCTGTGGGGGGTGGTGAGAAATAGAATTATCTTTTTGGAGGTGGGCCCCTTGGAGTACATTCTGAATTTGTTCCTCCAGATCAAGTGGTCAACTAAAGTTTTCACCGGGAAGTTTGTTTTTTCTGAGTTGAAGTCTCTGCTGCTCATGGCCACCCTAGCCTCGACCTGCTGGGCTCTGGTGCTCCTTCCGCCTCAGTCTTCCAAGTAGGTGGAACTACAGGCGCGTGCTATCACGCCCGGCTCATTTTTTGATTCATTGTAGGGATGAGGTCTCTCCAAGTTGCCCAGACTGGTCACAAACTCCTGGGCTCAGGCAGTCCTCTTGCCTCGGCCTCCCAAAGTGCTGGGATTATAGGCTTGAGCCACCGAACCTGGTTATCGGGAAGTTTTGAGAAGATTGTGTCATGATTTGCAGAAGAAACATCCCGAGTTGTGACAAATGGGTGACTGGCTCTTCTGCCACAACAAAACACCTGCCCACACTACACTGTTCAGCAGTTTTTGACCAAATATGACATAACCTCTTGCCCCACCCTCCCTATTCACCTGATCTCATCTTGAATGACTTTTTTTTTTTGCTTCCTGGGATGAAAAATGTCCTTAAAGGGAAACCTTTTGCCGATGTGGAAGAGGTGAAACAAAAATGGTAGAAGCACTGAAAGGCATCAAAATGGATGAGTTCAAAAACTGTTCTGAGCAGTGGGAAGAGCGTCACAACAGGTGTATTGCACCAAACGGAGAGGACGTTGAAGGTGACTGAGGTTTAAACACGTAAGGATGAATACATGAGGAGAGAGGTGTGATGGAAAGAGGGGAACTTTTCCAGAAGGGAGGGTCAGTCAGGGAACTCTTGGAAAGGTAAGGACTGACCTGCATCCTTGCGACTTAGCAACTTGGGTGACCTAGGAGGGAGCAGTGTGAGAGGAGGGGTGTGACAGAGGCCGATGTCAGCGGGAGTGGGCAGCCCTTTGGAGAAACAGAGCAGTGCAGGAGGAAGAAAGCTGAGGTCACTAGGAAGGGTTACTTTTGTTTTTTCAGAAAGGAGAGTGTTGAGCAACCAACTTTAGGCTCTAATTCAAAAGGAATTGGGATGCCAGAAAGATCTCTGATGAGAACAGAGATTCTGCCCCCAGGAGTCCTGGCCAAGAGGAGAACAAGCCCTGTGGAGGTGTTTTCCCCTCTCCCTTCCCAGACTGACGCTGCAGGCTTTATCTGGACTTGCTCTGCTGGACATCTGTCACCAGCTGCACTGCAGTGGGGGATGTCACCTCACAGGGAACTCAGGTACTGGCTCCAGAAAGCCTTCATCTGCCCTGACTCCTTGATCCCTGGGGCTGGAAACCCCTTCAGCTTGGGGTATGATGACTTTATTTTGCTTACCGTGGAGGGGGACGCAGAGAGGGTCACGTACTGTCTAGGCTGCATGTCCGCTTGATCCTGAGAGAGACTGCAGGGCAGCTGGCAGGCCTGCAGAGACAGACCCAAGCCAGGAAGGAGTGCGCCCGGGGAGGTAGGACCCTGTCGCACCATTGGACTTTTCCCTGGCCAGCAGCCAATGGACGTCTTCTATCTACATGATGGAGATCTTTGGCAGAAGGGAAGCTGTTTTGGATTAAGCGGTGACTGTTTAGGAAGGGGACGGAAATGAAGGAGAAGAGAGGTGGGATTTTCTAAGGTGGGATATAATACTAAATAAGGTCCCTGTGGCCAATATGACCTCACAGCCCAGAGACCCTTCTGGGTCTGCAGTACGTGAGATGGCAGAAGAACAGGACGCACAGCTCAAGGCAGTGTGGCTGTGGAAGAGGGAGGGAGGCATGGTGAAGTCCTACTGTGTGCCTACTAAGAGGGCCTACTCTGTGCCAGGTGCCCAATGTGTGGTGACTCACTGATCCTCAAAGCAACTGAGGTCGAGGAAACTGTCTCCACTTCACAGATGGGCATGCTGACCCTGGTTACGCCCAAGGTCACACACTTGCAGAGAGGCAGATGTACCTCCCAAGGTCCTGCCATGACTCTGACGAGGTTTGCCCTGGGTACAGGCTCAAAGACTTGTTTCTCTTTTTTCAGGGCAGCATGCATCCATGCTATGGATTGAATGTCTGTGTCCCCCAGAATTCATGTACTGAAACCTGATCCCAAGAAGATAGGGCCTTGGGGAGGTGATTAGATCATGAGAGAGGAGCCCTCAGGAATGGGATGCTGCCCTTATGAAAGGAGTCCAGAGAGTTCTCTCTCGCCTTCCATCATCTGAAGACACAGATAGGAAAAGGGCCCTCACTGCAACCTAACCAAACTGACACGCTGATCTCAGACTTCCAGCCTCCAGCACTGTGAGAAATAAATTTCTGTTGTTCATAAGCTAAAAAAAACCCCCCACAATTTTAACAAATTCTGGTTTCTTTTGGGTCCCTCCTCGTATAATCCTTGGTGCTTGGCAGCTCAATTAGGGCAGCGGTTAAGCTACTCCAGTTTACACAGGGCTGGCTTGTGAGCCAAACATCACATCCTGCAACTGGGCAAGCATTTGTACCATGGGAGTCAGGTACCTTCTGTGACCTTCGTGACAGGCTTGAGGATGCCACCTGTGGAACTGCACCACAGGGCTTGATGGCAATGTTGCCTTGTCATGCCAGTAAGATAGGTCCTGGACTGCACCTACTTTCAGTGCACAGGGGAACATTCTCTTCGGATGAATTCTCCTGAACAAAGAATAGCCCTCGAGTTCCCACAGAGGTTTTCTCATGTCCAGTTAATTCCCAGAGAGGAGTAGAGAGAGACTGTGTTCTTGGTCGTGGATGCCAGACCCTGTTAGTCATCCATGTTCTGTAGTTGTTCGACCAGATGTTCACCTTGCCAGGAATGAACATCAGCTCAGATTCTTTTGCATGATCTAGATGTTGACACAACCAGCCATCAGATTGATTAGTTATCATGGCTAGCATTTGGACAACTGGAGTTACGGAGGGGCGAGTCTGTACTTGGCCTGTTGAGAAAACAGTAAATGGTAATACAAGGCCTGACAATGAAGTTCGCCAACTTGCCACTGTGGGCTAACATTGGCAGCATTGTACAAACAACTCGGCAACATTTCATAACTTTGGTGTATCAGCATCTCACAGCTGAGTTCGTGATGATGTGTGGTGGTGACATGTTCACTGAGGGGCATTCATTATTTCTTTTTTTTGTTTTGTTTTGTTTTGTTTTTTTGAGTTGGAGTCTCACTCTGTCGCCCAGACTGGAGTGCAGTGGCCACTCCTGGCCACCACAGCCTCGACCTGCTGGGCTCCGGTGATCCTTCCGCCTCAGTCTTCCAAGTAGCTGGAACTACAGGCGCGTGCGCTACCAAGCCCAGCTAATTTTTGATTTATTGTAGAGATGAGGTCTTGCCAAGTTGCCCAGGCGGGTCTCGAACCCACGGGCTCAGGCAATTCACTCACCTCAGCCTCCCAAAGGCGCGGGATTACAGGCTGAGTCACCAAGCCTGGCTGGCATTCATTATTGTTGCACATTTTTGTGTGCCATCGCGAGAATTAGAGCAATGAACGGACACTATATTTCTTGTTAAACTTGGTAAGAGTGGAAGTGAAATCAGGGACATGTTAGTCCAAGGTTATGGGGATAATGCCGTGAAGAAAATGGCAGTGTACAAATGGATTAAGTGTTTTTTTGAAGAGAGAGAAAGTGTCGCTGATGAAGAGGGGTAAGGACGGCCAGCAATGAGCAGACCTGATGAAAACATTGCAAAAATTCATAGAATTGTGCATCAAAATCGTTGCCTGACAGTGAGAAGCATAGCAGACCAAATAAACATCTGTAGAGACACAGTTAAAAAAAAACCTTAACTGAAAATCTTGGCATGAGAAACGTGTGTGCAAAATGGTCCTGAAGGAGCTCTTGAATTGCAACAATGCACCAGCTCACACAGTGCTGTCTGTGAGGAAGTTTTTAGCCAATAAACAAATAACTGTCTTAGAACACTCTTCCTACTCACCTGATCTAGCTCTCAGTGACTTTTTTCTTGACCTGAAGATAAGGGAAATATTGAAAGGAAGACATTTGATGACATTCAGGACATCAAGGGTAATATGACAACAGCTCTGATGGCCATTTCAAAAAAGTTCCAAAATTGCTTTGACAGGTGGACTAGGCACTGGCATCGGTGCATAGCTTCCCAAGGGAAGTACTTCGAAGGTGACTGTAATGATATTCAGCAATGAGGAATGTAGCACTGTTTCTAGGGTGAGTTTGTGAACTTAATTGTTAGAACTCATGAGAGTGAAACACAGTTTGAAAGAAAGCCCATAGTGGCCGGGTGTGGTGACTCATATCTGTAATTCCAGCACTTTAACAGGCCAAGGTTGGAGGATCACTTGAGGCCAGGAGTTCAAGACCAACCTGGGCAAAATTGCAAGGCCCATCTTTACCCAAAAAAAGAAAAGAGGAGAAGGAGGAGGAGGAGAAGAAGAAGAAAAAGAAAAATCCCATAATCTCGAAAGAGTAGAATAGATTGAGATAGGCAGTCTCTAGTCAACTTTTCAATAAATGACTAATAAGAAGAGGAAAAGAAAGGAGAGATTCCATCAAAAGGGAAGGTGTTCTTGTTCGTTTGTTTTGTGAAGTGGAGAGTCTGAGAAGGGGAAGAAAATAGGTGGAAGCAAAATTCCTAGATCTAGAATCTTGGGAAAACTGTCTATTTTGTGATGTCATCTGCTTCTGGGACCTGGGAACTGACCCTGGAAATCCTTGGTTTAAGGATTGTAGGGATGGGCTTCTTTTTTTTTTTTTTTTTTTTTGAGTTGGAGTCTCACTCTGTCATCCAGACTGGAGTGCCGTGGCCGCTCCCGGCCACCGCAGCTTCGACCAGCTGGGCTCCGGCAATCCTTCCGCTTCAGCCTTCCAAGTAGCTGGAACTACAGGCGCGCGCTACCACGCCCAGCTAATTTTTGATTTATTGTAGAGATGAGGTCTCACCAAGTTGCCCAGGCGGGTCTTGAACCTGCTTGCCAAGTTGCCCAGGCTAGTCTCGAATCTGTGGGCTCAGACAATCCTCTCACCTCAGCCTCCCAAAATGCTGGGATTATAGGCTGAGCCACCGAGCCTGGCCGGGATGGGCTTCCAATTGTCCTAGAAGGATGCTCTAGGTCTAGGTCTGGTTTGGCACGGCTCACAGGAATCTAGAATTTTTTTTTTTTTGAGTTGTAGTCTCACTCTTGTCACCCAGGCTGTAGTGAAGTGGCATGTTCATGGCCACTGGAACCTCGATCTGTTGGGCTCAGGCGATCCTTCTGCTTCAGCCTTCCAAGTAGCTGGAACTACAGACGCACGCCACCATGGCAGGCTAGTTTTTGTGATTTATTGTAGAGACGAGATCTCACCAAGTTGCCCAGGGCTGTTCTCGAAACCCTGAGCTCAGGCAAGCCTCTTGTCTCAGCCTCCCAAAGTGCTGGCATTACAGGTTGAGCCACCGCACCCAGCCTATTACTTTTTAAAATTTTATTTTAAATGACCGTGCACGGTGGCTCACGCTTATAATTCCAGCACTTTGGGAGGCGGAGGTGGGAGGATTGCCTGAGCCCACAGATTTGAGACTAGCCTGGGCAACTTGGCGAGACCTCATGTCTACAATAAATAAAAAAATAAGCCGGGTGTGATGGGGTATGCCAGAAGGCTGAGGAGGAAGAATCACCTGAGCCCAGCAGATCGAGGCTGCGGTGGCTGTGAGCGTCCCACTGCACTCCATCCTGAGTGATAGAGTGAGATTCCAACTCAAAATAAACAAACAAACAAACAAATAAAGTAAACCTTATTTTATTTATTTTTGTGGAGCTGGGGCCTCGGTATTTGACCCAGGCTGGTTTCCAACTCCTGGCCTCAAGCAATGCTCCTGCCTCAGCCTCTCAAAGTGCTGAGATTATTGGCGTGAGCCACTGTGCCTGGCTGATATATTTTTTTAAGTTTTGATGGCAGTGTAGGTGATTTGCAGTGCTTCATAAAGTCCTTCCCATCTCAGTGACAGTGTGTGCTTTCTTCCAAAAACACTGATGTGCATGTGATCTCCCGACTGAAAGGGACTACAAGGCTTGCTCGATGGTAGAGGCCACACCCTTTTACCTGTTAATATGCGCCATGTGTACTGTTATTCCTGTATATAGGTAGTCATAGCATCCAATTGTTGACTCACATCAAGTGCTGGAATTACAGGCATGAGCCACCGTGTCTGACCCCGTTATTATATTTGCCCAGAAATTTTGTCTTCAGGGACTGTCACAAGAGAGAAGAAAGTCTGGGTTGTGTGAGGGGTGGTGTGAGAGTCCTCACGTACTTTGAAATCACACTACAGGCCGGGTGCAGTGGCTCAGTCTGTAATCCCAGCACTGGGAGGCCAAGGTGAGAGAATTGCCTGAGCCTGGGAGTTCAAGACCAGCCTGGGCAACTTGGTGAGACCTCAATCTCTACAATAAATC